AGTTTTGGAAGCAAGTAATCTGGAAATTCATTCCAGCTCAGTATATATTGTAAATTTTATTTCAACTCTATTGAAACCCTATATCAATGTTTATATAACCCCATCTTTTTTATTTCAGTCATTTTGAGTAATTAAATTTTAATTTAAAAACTTCAGGTGGGTCTTTTATAAAGATGAATGTAGGGTCGGGGATTTAGCTCAGTGGTTCTGCCTCTTGCCTCGAAAGCGCAAGGACCCGAGTAATGAATTTAAAATTGCTTTCATGAAATTCTTCATGATTACATTCTCTTAATTCATGTTTTTTTGTTTTGTCTTTTTTTTTGGTAGTGGGGATCGAACTCAGGTCCTTGTTCTTGCGAGGCAGGCAGCGGAACCACTGAGCTAAATTCCCAGCCCAAGAGGGCTTTTCTTTTAAACTTCATGTCCTTCCCTGACTTTGTGGACCTTATTTTTCTGTGGGAAAATTTAAAAAGAGATCAAAGTGCCCCTCTGCCCAAAAAGACACTTTGACATTAGATAGGTATTTTTAATAAAGTAGACCGTGTTATTGGGATAGAGGACAGCATAGAGATAGGGTAAAAATTACATTGTGTGAGGAGGGAGGGCTTCCCAGAGGAGGTGGTGTGAGTATTTACACTGCTAAGAGCTGGAGGACCAGGGAGTAGAGAGGACCACATTCATGCATGGCTGCAAGCTGCCCAAGACCTTAACGCATCACAATTGTATCCAGTTCTAGTAATGTGAAGCGTTTCCATTCCTGTCTACTATACATATGGCCAGCTGTTTGCTCTGTGCTCAGTTATTTTGGCTAAATCTTTAATATAGAATTCAGTGTGAGATTGGGATGGAAAATCATAACTTGATTTACATACAAAGTTTTCTTACTGTGATTTCAGTTAGCAACTGTGTCATGTAGAGTAAGGTATAAAACATTCATTAAACATTTATTTATATCTGGAGTGTCTCTGCAGGTGATGTTCTAGTCAAGGCACAATTGTAAAAAAACACCACTTACTAACTCCGTGTTGTGTATGTACAATTCCAAGTATCTGGGAACATCCAGGTGATCACATTCTTGAGAATTGCCCCCAGGGATTTGACATTGTGTGACTGCATTTCCACAATTTATGTAGAGCTGGCATTTAAAATCCTTGTAAGGATACTTTCTTCTTCACTCCTAACATATACAATCAGATGACATTAAATATCCTTACATATTAAATAATACAATTAACCTATCATGTTAAAATTTATGATTTTAATGTGATTCCAACAAAAGTCAACAGATTTAATTATTTTCTGGAGGTAAAGAAGTCTATTTATATGCTCCATGAGTTAAGGTCTTTTCTGTTCCTATAACTGTATACCTCTGACTGGATAATTTGTACTGAATAAAGGTTTATTCAGCTTGGGGTTCTGGAGGTCCAAGATCAAGCGCCCTCATCTGGTGCGGAGACCACCATCTTCCTGGTGGGGCTCCTCTGAGAGTCCCAAGGCAGAGGTGCATACAAACTGGGTCTTCTGAGTTCCACTTTACAAATGACTCAGTAAGCTATTCATCTGTGGCTAAATTGCTCCATTCATGACATAACCACCTTTTAAAAACTTCCCCACTACCAAGTATTTAATATTTCGAAAAGGAAATTAAATTTCATTATGAGTTGTGATGTACATGTTGAACCCATTAGCAGTTTATAAAGAAAAATAAAATATATTTCAGTAAAATCTTGAAATACAGAGTCACTGTGGTCCAGCTACCCCTAAAATATATTATAAACCCTCCAAAATAAAAAGATTATGATGGTGTTGGTGCATCATTAGATAATCTAATGTTAAAAAATTCCTAGAGTTGGGCATGGTGCCACACACCTATATCCCCAGCACTTGAGGGACTGAGGCAGGAGGATTGCAGTGAGTTGAGGGCCAACCTGGGTTACATCATAAGCTCAAGGACAGCTTGAACTGCATAGTGAGACCCTGTCTCAAAAAAAATTTTAGAAATCAACCTATGAACAAATATAAATGAATACATATGCATATATAGTGTATTACATACTTTATTGCACTGCATTAAAGTCAATAATAAAACCACAAATCAGAGTGTAAAAACTGCGTTAAAAGAAAATTGATTTGGGAAGTTGATAGAAACTAGGAAAAAGGTAAAACTGGACTTGTACTGCCATTATAGACAACCATACAAAAATCAAGCACTGGAAGATCTAGAAATGAAAAATAAAGTCAGAAAATCTGTAGAAAAAAAGCATTGAGGGAAATGTCTTCCTAACTGTGACTTAAAATACAGGATTACAAAACATGTGCAACTGACTTTTTTTTTGAGACTAGATCTTAGTATTTAGATCAGGCTGACTTTCAACTCACTTATGAAGCCCAGGCAGGATTCTAACTCATGGTGAATCTCCTGCCTTAGCCTCCCAAGTGTTGAGATTACAGCCATGCACAACCACGCCAGGCTGAAAATTAAGTTTTGCATAGCAAAATAGTAAGACTGAGGTCCAAAGAAATTTTGGGGGCAATTATTTTTTAATCTGCAGCACAGAAATGGCACATGTTCTTAATGTATCTATAATGCTCTTAAAAACATAGAAACCAGGGCCTAGAAAAGGACCATGTCACCAGACCAAGAGATCTTATACTCCCTAGCATATCTCATTGAGGACTAGGTTTATTATAAACACCTTAGACCCTGGGCAATGATTCTACCATAGTAATGGGCCACACCAATGATTCAAAATAATGTAATCTTGCGGGGGATCATGCCAAAAGTAATGAGTCCTGTAATCTCATGGGGGCATGATGAGTAGTCAAGATACTATAGTGTGTGTGTGTGTGTGTGTGTGTGTGTGTGTGTGTGTGTACTTCTGGGTACTGTAGTCCCAGATGTGGAATTGTCTGGTATCCTGAGGGGGGGAGGGGGAGTGATAGTTAAGGCTACTGCAGTACAGGTGTGTGCATGCAGAGGCTTTTGGGTACTGTGTTTAATTGACTAATGGTTAACTGAAGTAGAATGTGCAGCTGAACTAAATCAGTGTGGTTCTGGGTGTGGAAGGCCCACCTGAGGATTGTTGCCAATGGCACAAAAGGAGCATAGGAGGGGAAGGTGCATACTGTTGTTTTTACTAGAGAAGCTTGCCCCCACGACTTATTTTTCGGATAGAAGAAGGTCAGTCCTTGCCATTACCAGGGATAGCTGCTGTTCTCTTGGTGGAGGGGGTGGGGGGAGCTCTGGTCTTTGCCTTGAC